CAACCTGTCAACATGGCCCAAATAAAGTTGCTTGCCTGTGACTGTCGCTTTATGGTCATATCTTTTTCCTTCTGAAAACCCTTGAACTCACTATCATTCTTCTAATCTTTGAATATCTTTTTGAATTGGAAACGTTTGAATCTCTTGTATTTCTGCAAAAAATATATATGAAAATATTAAAGCAAGGATTCTTTAGAATAAGTGAGCCAGTCTCAGTGATCCATCCGGCCGTTTCTACATTTTTAAAAAAATGTTCAGGCATGATGTGAAGTTCATCCTGTAAAATCTGAGTATGGTTCATTATCTAGGATAATCACCTTTATGGAAATCCATTCGATGACATACTCACTTAAGATCAGAAAACCACTTAACCATGTAATACACATGTGTTATTATCTTTAAAATATGTTTAAAGAAAAAAATGTTTCTATGAATTATAAATCATTGTGTATTATTGTTTTCTGTAACATTAATGCTGTTATTTAAATAAAACAATAGTATGAACACTAAGAATAGGTAAATGTCTATCACTAGTAACTAATACTAGGACTATATAATATTATGTGTTGAAAAAATAAAACCATGATTAGTAATAATCTTTCCATTCATAATGGGTTTCTAGTTACCAAAAAAATTGAAAAGATAGTACTGAGTCTCCACATATGTCTGACTGTTTTCTGGTTATTAATATCAGTTGATACATTTTCCCAGTCAATATCCAGAAGAGACATGGCATTATTAACTAAAGTTTATATTTTGACTCCGATTTCTTAGGTTTTCACCTCTTCTATTCCAGACTCCTCCCAGCTGGCACATTATCATCAGTCATCCTGTCTCCTTGGACTCCACTTGACCACGGCGATTTTTAGATTTTCCATATTTTTCATGACCTGCAAAGTTTTGAGAGGTACTTTCATAGAATGATCCTTGATTGGTATATGACTTATGTTTTCAAAAGACTATACTGGGGTTATGTGTTTTGGGGCAGAAGATCCAGAGGAAAAATGCCATCCATAATTATCATTTCACATAAAAGATGTGTACTCTGAAGAATGGGGTCTTTTGTGGTTCCATACAAATATAAGGATGATTCTATTTGTNCTCTCTCAAAATACAAAAACTTAAAAAAGATAAAAAGTTAAAAGTTAATGAACTAGTGGCATGAAATGCCTTATTTAGGCAAGACTGCCTCCTTGAGGGGAAATGAAGGGGTCTATCAGTAAAATTTCTAGCATTTACTAGGATATTCTTTGCTGACTAGTTAAAGGTTACATTCCCATAGGAATGAAACTAGGTTTGGTGACATGGGCCTTAACAGAAGTAACTCCATGGTGGGCCTGTTTTTTTTCTTATTTCCAAATCCTAATTTTTACACATCCATTTTTTATTAAAAATATAGCCCTGGGGCGCCCGGGTGGCTTAGTCAGTTAAGCGTCCGACTTTCGCTCAGGTCATGATCTCACGGTTCATGGGTTCGAGCCCCGCGTCGGGCTCTGTGCTGACTGCCAGCTCAGAGCCTGGAGCCTGTTTCAGAGTCTGTCACTCCCTCTCTCTCTGACCCTCCCCTGCTCATGCTGTCTCTCTCTCTCCTCAAAATAAATAAATAAAACATTAAAAAATATATATAGCCCTAAATAACATTTTATCCATCTACTGCTGGCCTGATTTTCCTATCCTGTGAAACTATCATCATCTACTAATCATAGATGAAGATCAATTCTGTGGTTCTAAGATCTCTATGGGTCTAAGTTACTTTGATCTGTTACTAAGATCTTTTGAGTCTAAATTACTGCTGGCCATTTGAAATCTTTGACTTAGGAATCCCCAGCCAGGCTGCTGAGCCATCACTTAGGCACAAAATCACCCTTTCCAAGTCACTTCTTCCTAGAAGATTATCTTGCCTCCTTGTACTTCCGGGTCTTAGCCTTTGGCAGTCACGTGCTGCGATGGATATCCATTCATGCAACCTGTCAACATGGCCCAAATAAAGTTGCTTGCCTGTGACTGTCGCTTTATGGTCATATCTTTTTCCTTCTGAAAACCCTTGAACTCACTATCATTCTTCTAATCTTTGAATATCTTTTTGAATTGGAAACGTTTGAATCTCTTGTATTTCTGCAAAAAATATATATGAAAATATTAAAGCAAGGATTCTTTAGAATAAGTGAGCCAGTCTCAGTGATCCATCCGGCCGTTTCTACATTTTTAAAAAAATGTTCAGGCATGATGTGAAGTTCATCCTGTAAAATCTGAGTATGGTTCATTATCTAGGATAATCACCTTTATGGAAATCCATTCGATGACATACTCACTTAAGATCAGAAAACCACTTAACCATGTAATACACATGTGTTATTATCTTTAAAATATGTTTAAAGAAAAAAATGTTTCTATGAATTATAAATCATTGTGTATTATTGTTTTCTGTAACATTAATGCTGTTATTTAAATAAAACAATAGTATGAACACTAAGAATAGGTAAATGTCTATCACTAGTAACTAATACTAGGACTATATAATATTATGTGTTGAAAAAATAAAACCATGATTAGTAATAATCTTTCCATTCATAATGGGTTTCTAGTTACCAAAAAAATTGAAAAGATAGTACTGAGTCTCCACATATGTCTGACTGTTTTCTGGTTATTAATATCAGTTGATACATTTTCCCAGTCAATATCCAGAAGAGACATGGCATTATTAACTAAAGTTTATATTTTGACTCCGATTTCTTAGGTTTTCACCTCTTCTATTCCAGACTCCTCCCAGCTGGCACATTATCATCAGTCATCCTGTCTCCTTGGACTCCACTTGACCACGGCGATTTTTAGATTTTCCATATTTTTCATGACCTGCAAAGTTTTGAGAGGTACTTTCATAGAATGATCCTTGATTGGTATATGACTTATGTTTTCAAAAGACTATACTGGGGTTATGTGTTTTGGGGCAGAAGATCCAGAGGAAAAATGCCATCCATAATTATCATTTCACATAAAAGATGTGTACTCTGAAGAATGGGGTCTTTTGTGGTTCCATACAAATATAAGGATGATTCTATTTGTTTGAAAAATGCAGGTGGTATGTTGATGGAGATCACATTAATTTTATCAATTACTTTGGGTAGTATCGACATTTTCACAATATTTGTGCTTCCAATCCATGAGCATGGAATATCCTTCCATTTCTGTGTCATCTTGAATTTCTTTCATGAGTGTTTTAAAGAGTATAGGTTGCTAAGCACTTTGGTTAGATTTGTTCACAGGTATCTTACTATTTGGTGTGCAATTATATATGGGACTCTTGTTAATTTCTCTTTCTATTGTTTCATTATTGTTGTCTAGAAATACAACATTATTCTGTACAATGATTTTGTATCCTGTGACATTGCTGAATTCATTTATCAGTTCTAGCAGTTATTGGGTGGAATCTTTAGGATTTCCTATGTATAGTGCATGTAATCTGCAAAGTGCAAAAGTTTTATATTTTCCTGATTTGGATTCCTTTTATTTACTTATTTTTTTTGTGTGATCGCTGTGGTTTGGACTTCCAGCACTGTGTTTAATAGAAGTGGTGAGAGTAAACATCCTAATCTTGTTCCTGACCTTAGAGGAAAAGCTCTCAGATTTCCCCCATTAAGGATGATGTTAACTGTGGGGTTTTCATAAATGACCTTTTTTTGTTGTGTATGTTCCCTTTAAACCTACATTTTTGGCTTTTTTTAAATCATAAATGAATGCTGTTCTTTATCAATTTTTTTCTGTCTGCTTTGAAATGGTGATATGGTTCTTTTCTCGTAATGTTTATTCATTTAAAAAAATTTTTTTTAATGTTTCATTTATTTCTAGGAGAGAGAGAGAGAGACAGCGTAAGCAGGGGAGGGTCAGCGAGAGAGGGAGTCACAGACTGAAACAGGCTCCAGGCTCTGAGCTGGCAGTCAGCACAGAGCCCGACGCGGGGCTCGAACCCACGAACCGCGAGATCATGACCTAAGTGGAAGTCGGACGCTTAACCGACTAAGCCACCCAGGTGCCTCGTGTTTATATTCATTTTTGAGAGAGACAGAGTGTGAGCAAGGGAGGAGCAGAGAGAGAGGGAGACACAGAATTTAAAGCAGGCTCTTGGCTCTGAGCTGTCAGCACAGAGCCTGACACGGGGCTTGAACTCACAAACCACGAGATCATGACCTGAGCTGAAGTCTGCTCGGTCTCACTGGCATCTTGTTTTTGTTAATTTGTAGCTTTTTCTGGGAGTGGGTACAGTGACCACCTTTCTATCCTCAGCCTCTTACAGCAGAGCCACTACATTACAACCACTCGAGAAAGCGTTTGCTGAAGGACTGCCGGAGAGGCCAGAAGGAAATGCATGTGCTTTTCTCTGTCTAGTGCTTTCATCTCCGTTTCTAAGATATTTTCAATTCTGCATGTGATTCTTGAGTACATCAAGTGTCAAGTTGAAACCCTTTAAGTCAACACCATTAACAAAATAGTCTGAGGGCAACAAGCAAACCAGCCTTTCTACACATTTCTCTTTGTTGCCTTCACTATGAATGAACTCAGTCTTGTTAAAGTATATTGGCTCCATGAAGCTGAGAATTTTCCATCTGAAATCTGTTTTCTGGAGATAAACCCAGACAGTGTGACAGTATATATCAGGTTATACTTCAGGAGATATGGCTGCTCTGAGATTGGCCTTTTCCTCCACCAGCATATGTGAAGGTCGAGGCAGGGTTGCCCTCCTGACCCCTAGCGATGTCTGGGCATGAGCTGCAATGTTGGTGAAGCCATATCCTGGAAGGCCGTCTTTCAGGATGATGGTCTGTGTCAGGGTACAGCTTTTGGACTGAAAATCAGGGCTCCCCCATGGAGGTGTAATTCTAGAGGAGGTGTTAGACTACTCTGCTTCATCCTAATGGGTACAGTTGGTCACACATTGTTTGTCACATTGCTGTAATGAGCCTTCACCATCTCAAACACAAGACCAACTCTGGGAAGGCACAAAGTGCAATGTTATTTGATGACTTTATGATGAAAGAGTAGAAGCAGATGACTAGAAAGACAGCCCTGAAAGCAGAGATGTGGCAGGACAGAGGTAGAATTTTCTGTAACTTAAATGTGGTGTTCGCTTCATTTCTCTGATGTTGTCAGTTTGTGCATTTATGGGAGAGGTGGGGCAAGGCATATTTGCATAGGCCTTCGAGAGAGCTGGGATGTAAAAAGGCAGAATTTTTGTACCTTGATCTTGACTGTGTATATATCATTCCCATCTTAGGAAGCTGAAAAAGACACACTGAACTGGAGGCAAGGAAGAATCAGCTGCAGGCACAATGGGAACATGGCTATGGAAGAAATAAACAAGTACAATTGAGTTCAGCTACCCATTACCATCAGCTCATGAAACCTCTGTTCATTTTTTGTTTTTAACCGTTTTTACAATGTTTAGACTCTACATAGTAGTTTAAACGAAAATTCAGAGGACATATGCATAGAGTATTAACAGATAAAAGAAGGTCACTTTTAGAATGAACAAAATGAATCAGTTTCTTTTTTTTAATTTTATTTTTTCTGAGAGAGAGACAGCATAAGCAGGGGAGGGTTAGAGAGAGAGGGAGATACAGAATCTTAAACAGGCTCCAGGCTCTGAGCTGTCAGCACAGAGCCCGGCGCGGAGCTCGAACCCATGAACCATGATATCATGATCTGAGCCAAAGGCAGACACTTAACGGACTGAGCCACCCAGGTGCCCCTAGAGTTTTGTGATCAAAGACAATTGTCACATGATGAATTAGGGAAAGATTGACAAGGGGAAGGAATTTTATGAACTCTGAACCCTACGAGCATGGAGTAATGAGTATGTAAAAAAGGATGGAACAATAGCTTTGAGCTACTGTACATTTATAACATGTGAAAAACATTTCATGTGTAATAATTGTATCAGGGGACAGATATGAGGTTGATGGGAACATGGGCAGATTATTTAAAATCATACCCAATATTGGGGCTTCTCTGATGAGAGCAGTTGTAACTCACAGGCAACAAGCTGAACAAACACGAAACACAGCTCACCTTCAGACCCCAGGTAACCTGAGTTCTGCCTGACATAATGAACCCTTTGCACCTCATGAGGGTGAGTGTAGTGGCCCTCATGATCCCTAAACACAGGCTGTTCATTGTTGACTTTTTCAGATCGCAGTTCGTGAGAAGAATGCTCAGCACAACTGGGTGAGGTTTTTCTTTTCCCACCTCTTCCTTTGGCCCCCAGTCTGGCACGACTGAAGGCGGATGTGTTTCTCTCCCCCAGGTCAAGACTCAGATCTGGGAGAGGGAGATGTCAGAGCAGAGCAGGGAGGTGGCCTACTTGAAACACAGGTGTGGTAGTTTGACTTGCCTCTTTATGGGTGGTTTGGGGATGACACCCGCGCTGTTTGTTGTCTAGTACACTACGTGGTGTTGCAACTCTTATGGAAGTCCGTTCTTTTTCTGTATCCAAGACCGGACAGGATGAAAGAAAAGAGGTTTCCTGAGGGACACACAAAGCAGAAACCAGTGCCTGGAAGGCCAGAGACGCAGGCCCCCTGAGGAGAGGTAAGGAGCACGTGGTGACGTGCAGCAGCCTGATTTCTGCTGCGCAGCCTGTCTTGTGGGTGATCATCATGTGGCCTAGAAAGAACCAGAAGCACTAAGGGTGACAGGAGGGTGTTCTCCTCTGCTCCCCTAGGCGACACCTGTCCCTGTGGGTCGCGGAGCTCACGCCCCTCCCCTGACTGCAGACCCTCCCAGCCCCTCCGCATCCCCCCACCTGAGGAGATGAGCCTAGAGGGGGTGACGGGACAGGGGCCTCATCCTCCTTCCCCCCCTGACTCAATGTGAAGACTTTAGTTCACTTGAGAAGGTCATTTATTTACTATTTTTAATGTTCTTTATTTTTATTTTCTTGTGAGCCGTAGCCCTCCCTTCCTAAATTCAAGTTCCATATAGCTTAGTCCTCTGATGTGACCAGTGCAACTCTGTAGCTTCGCTGCTAAATTCCTAGTGTTTTCCTTTACTGGTTAGTGTAATATTAATCTAAATATATTTCTATTCAGAAATAGTTGTATAATAACTGTTCACATGTGGAAGGCAGCTTATTGATAAGTGGAAAGATTGGACAATCCACCTGAAGAAACATACCCGTCTTCAGGATTCATTGCTGATATATACCAAATCAGCATTCTTAGTTTTATTCTTTTTTTAAGTTTATTTTCAGACAGAGTGAGTATGTCTGGGAGGGATGGAGAGAGAATCCCAAGCAGGCTCCACATGGTCAGTGAGAAGCCCAGTGGTGGGTTCGAACTCACAAGCCATGAGATCATGATCTGAGCCGAAATCAAGAGATGGATCCGTAACTGACTGAACCACACAGGCATCCTCATATTCATTTTTTTAAAATGTTTTATTTCTAGGAGAGAGAGAGAGAGAGACAGCGTGAGCAGGGGAGGGTCAGAGAGAGAGGGAGTCGCAGACTGAAACAGGCTCCAGGCTCTGAGCTGGCTGTCAGCACAGAACCCGACGCGGGGCCCGAACCCATGAACCGCGAGATCATGACCTAAGCGAAAGTCGGACGCTTAACCGACTAAGCCACCCAGGTGCCCCCCTCATATTCATTCTTAATCTGTAATGAAATAGTGATGTCCCGTGATGTACACTGAGAAACTTCTCTTTTACTAATGAATTCTAAATTGCTAGTTGAGTCTGACCTGTCCAGATTTATTTGATTATGAAAAACATGAACCAGCGCACCATGGGGTCCGCATTACGGTGAGGAAATGGTTCTCCCCCTTACCCGTGGGGGTCACCGGAGGCACGTGGATACCCTCTGCCTATGATCAGGGACTTGAGTGTAGAGAAAATTTCAAGATTTGTGAAGAATGAGATGAGTTGTTGTTTTAATTCCGCACAGTCCACTAAAATCAGAAAAAACCTCTATCCCTTCCAGGGCCTTTAGCAGATCCAGAAACTGGTGTGACCTCTGTGAGTTACAGCAGCTCTGACTCCACCAAGAATGCAGACAAGGACAAGGTAAGTGCTGAGGCCATTCTCAGTGGTGACTCTTTCGGGAAACCCTCCTCCTTCTATACAGCATGCTCTCCGGACTTTGTCTGGTTTTGTGTGTTGTGTGATATGTCTGCTTGTTTTGTTTTCCAAGGGCACACTACTAGCCCAGGAGCCCGCAGGCTTCTCTGTTTTCAGCCTGTCGTCTTTTTGTAGTAAGTTTAGAAGCCCAAAGTGCTTAGAGGCTGAGGACCTTAAGACTTTTACATGTATTTCTGGAAATAATGAGGGGAGGATGACCCCACACTCCAAACAGAAGTCTCCTGGCCTGGGTGACCCCTTCCAGGCCTCAGTTCTGTGGGAACACTGTGGCTGCCGTGTCTTCCTTTCTTGATTCTGGCTAGGAGCTAGGAGATTAACCTGTTAGAAAGTCTGCCATGTTGGTTAACATTTACTTCACTGTCTCCTTCAATTGTGTTTACATGAGCCGTTTCTGGTTGTGTCCCCAGTCACTGTCGAGCTGATGCAGTCCCATGACACATCCCAGGAGTTTTATGCCAGAAAGCAAAGCACATTTGCATTAAATCTGCTATGTGATTTTCTGCCTCTTTTTTCTGTTGGACATAATAACTCTGTCCTGTAGTCTGCTTAAAATCAGAATTCCCCATGAATTAAGATGATCACACCTGAGCTTTGTAGACATTCACAAGTATCTTTTTCCTCACAGCTTTCCCCTGCAAGATTCCAGGCAGCCTCCACTCCCCAGAGGTCCCCGAGGCCGTTGACAGCACTTAAGAGGGAAGACCCCTTTCTCAGGGAGAGGAGCAGAGGGGTCACAGTGAGGGGCTGGCTGGAGAACTTTCCCCAGGAGTGGCTGTGATTCCAGGAGCAGATGAGGAGCGGTTCGTTCACACTCATTTTTTTCTGTGTGTGTGTTCTTCATATACCAAACACAGAGCATCTGCAGGCACCCCTGAGGAGGGATGCAGGGTGAACCTGGACATGGAAGTCTGTCCGTCTGGAGAATGCTACTTCATCAGTCTGTAATTACCTCTGTGAATCCTCTAGGACAGGACCCTTGCCATCTGACTTTTGCAAACATGGGCAGTGATGTGTGGTGACAGGAGTTTCACCTCTTGCATCTACTGCTCCAAGCGGCAGGTGGTACCCAGTGGCAAGGACAGAGTATTCAGGTACTGATGCTACTCTCCTGGATCCTGGTGGCAGAGAAGGTGGCAGGTGCTGACACGTTCTTCTCTGGGCTTCAGCTGCTTTTGGTGTTGGTTCTCTTGTCTGGCAGATGCACGTAGCTGTCACTTCTGTCCTGCAGGGCAGTGTGGCTCTATGGGGACCTCCTCCATTAACTGGAACATTCTGCATGCCCTACCCTGGAGGCCCGCTGATGGGCTTCTGGGCACATCCACCTCCTGAACCTTGGTGGCCCTGAAGACCACCCTGAACCCCTTGATCTACAACACTTGGTAAGATGACCTGGGCAGTAGGAGTTGATCTGCAAAGCACCCTCCTCTTATTTTTGTTGGTGTTGGGTCTTTGGCCAAAGTGCAGAGGTGGTACCACAGACCATTGCTCTGCAAGGGAAATGTGTCTGCCGCCATTACCACATTCCTCAGGTCTCTCATGATCGACAGATCATCTTTGTCATGGTTGGTACAGGCATCCCTTGTGGAGAAGGAATGGGGCTGTCTGCAGAGAAGCAGACATAGCAGTTCAGCAGAACTGCCTGTGCACCGTCCATGTGCTGAGCACTGTGAGGCACAGCCTAACGTCTGTCCATCTAGTCGCGCCCCCAGCCATCCATACTCATCCGATGAGTGATGTATTAATACATCTGAATCAGGGCTTTTAGGGGTCCTCATCAAGTTATAAGGGATGGTTCTTCACATCCTTCCTGGGCATCACCTGAGGCATGTGGGATACCCTCTGCATGTGATGTGGGATGAGACTGGGGCCAAGAGTTTAAGTTGTCTGAGGAATGAGAAGATGATTTTTTTGCTTTAGAGCCTTCAAACAGTCTACTCAAATCAGAATAAACCTCTACCTCTATCCCTTCTAGGGCCTTTAGCAGATCCAGAAGAAGGTGTCACCCCCGACAGTGCCATGAATACTGACTGTACCCAAACTGCTGAGAAGCACAAGGTAAATGCTGTGGCCATTTTCAGTTGTAAGTCCTTCCCGACACCCACATCGTTCTGTACAGCACACTCTCCTTCCCTTGTCTCTGGCTTGTGTGTTGTATGCTATGTCTGCTGTTTTTTTTTTTTTTTCTTCCAAATGCAAAACCTTTACCCCTGAGGCTACGGATTTCCCTGTTTTCCACCTGGCATCTCTTTGTGGTAAGTTTAGAAGCTAACTGTGTGTAAGGGTGAGGACCTTAGGGTCTTCCCACTGTGTTCCTAGGGTAAGTCGAGGAGGACGACACCACACTCCCCTTGGAAGCCCCCCGGCTCGCCTTATTCCTTTGGGGCCTCCTCAGTGTGGAATCATTGCTCTTGCGGTTTCTTCCTTTCCTATTTCTATCAAGGGTTTTAACGTATTCAGAAAAATCTGTGGATCTCCTTACAATTTGAAAATGTAAACTGCCTTCACTCCAACCTATTTTTTTTTTAAATTTTTTTTTAATGTTTTATCTATTCCTAGGAGAGAGAGAGAGAGACAGCGCGAGCAGGGGAGGGTCAGAGAGAGAGGGAGTCACAGGCTCCAGGCTCCGAGCTGGCAGCCAGCACAGAGCCCGACGCGGGGCTCGAACCCACGAACCGCGAGATCATGACCTAAGCGAAAGTCGGACGCTCAACCGACTAAGCCACCCAAGCGCCCCTCCAACCTATATTTTTATATGCATCATTTTTACAGTGGTCTTAAATGAAGGAAATTTCAAACCTTCAACATGCCATCTTTTTTTGGTAAACATGCTGTCCAGAATCCCTTTAGGTGTGCCCTGGGTATAAATATCCTGAACTTTACGAGGTGACATATTTATCGTAGAAAACATGCACCAAAACTTACATTGTGAAGAGAAAAAAAAATCCAAAATTACCTGCGTGGCAAGTCCCCACTGTATCCTTCACTTGTGTTCCCATGATCAAGTTCTGCTGTGTCCTTTATCATGGGCAGAGCTAAAACATGGATATTTACACCAGAAATCAAGGTCCATTTGTGTTTTGTTATCTGGAATTTCAGCCCAGTCTTCCAGAGGACAGATTACCCTATAAATTGTACTGTACTCAGGCCGAGAAGTACCTCTGCATGAAAATGCATTAGCTGAACACAACTAACATGTATAGGTATAGTGAAATCTCAGTGCACAATGCAGCGTTCATCTCTGAGATGTCAGTGTTGCCAAAGTGCACCTAGATAATCATCTAAAAAGATTGTGTCCCGGGGTGTTCTGAAAGTTCTAGATATTTGTTGGGGGGGAAACGCCCAGAGACATGGGAAATTTAACTTGGTCTTATGGAAATGCTTGTCTGCCCAAGTTCATATCCCTCAGTGAGACAAGATCTAGATCAGCTGAGTGCTTTCATTGGCCTTCCGCCTGAGGTAACCTACAATTCAGGATTGGCCAGAAGCCACCCCTGCTGGACCCCTTTCCATCTCCTCAAACTTCTCTCACAATATCCCTAGTCTTTGCCCGTGTTCCTGCTGTCTCAGCTGTCATACCAGTTCTCAGTGAGACCTACTCAGAGCCTCAGCTGTGAAATAGGGGTAATATTTGTTTCAAGAACATTATTAAAGAATACATTAAATACATAAAACATCTGCAAAATGTCTGGGAAGTATTCACTCACCTTCTCACAGTTTCAATGAAGATATCTCCACACAATGATCATCAAAAAAAGACGTTCGTGGAAATTCATTCAACGAAGACTGTTAACACCTCAGTCCAGGAATTGCTGTTTGAAACGATAAGACAGAGACCCTCATTTTTCTATTAAAATTCATGCCCTACCAGACAAAGAAAGAAAAGATAATTATGAGAATGTGTATATTCAGAGATCTACATCTGAGAGCTAAACACGATAATTTTCCATTACATGCAGCCACACATGAAAGTGTTCACCTGAGGCCACAGATAAAGTACAGAAGACAGAATGCATGTAGGAAAACATATGATCATAGGGAACTTAACCAAAATCTCTTAAATCTCACTGATTCTGAAATTTGAAGAGGACTGTGCAAAGTGACCGACTACAGTGATTATATAATTTTTAAAAGGTGTGTCAGCTCTGCCTGAATGCTTTCCCTACACACCCTGCCCCCTACACTTTGTCCTTTCTATGTCCCTTAATAACCCTCCACCGTTCTGTCTGTGTCAGCACCTGCTTCTAGGAGGACCTAGTCTCGTCACTCCCCATCACTGCAGACAGTGGGGTTTCTGTACACACAGGAAACAAACTGACAGAAATGGTGGTGATGGAGGATAGTAGCGAGATCACCCTTTGTGCAGGGGAGCCCAAGGGAGTTTTATGGGGTGGCGGGAACTTCTTATATCTAGATTTCAGGGGTGTTTGTGCTCATTTATCAGAGAAATATTCACTGACTCCCTGGTGCCTCAGGGTCAGACAGACAGGTGTCTCTAGGATATGGCTGACTTCTACTGGTTGGTAAGGAGGAGGGACCAGCAGTGACTGTGGGAGATGGCATATGTGAGGAGGCCACACATGGAGTCAGACCCTGGCCCAGGAGGTCAGCTCTCCCCACACAGCACCATGTGCAGGAGGGCTCTAGGGACCAGAGATATCTTCATTGGTACCGTGAACTCCAGAATCCTCCTCCACTTTCCTCACTGAGGGATGGCCAGGGCACAGGCCAGCAGCTGGAGGTCACCCTGACATTGGCCGGAGTGGATGACTGGGCCTGGGAGACTGAGTCAGAGGGAGGGGCAGGCAGAAGGTAGTGGCAGTGAGTTTCAGAGAAGAAAGGAAGGGAAGGGAAGAAAGTGGACTTTTCTCTACTGGCTTCACTTTCGTAGCTGTGTGAACAAAAGGGGATTCTTGTCTCTGATGGTGGCAAAGAGGGCTGGCAAAAGGACAGAGTGACATTCTCAGCTCAAGTACCGACAGGATATCTAACTTGCTCCTGAATGCCTAACACAGGAAGCCCGTGCTTTGTGTCATAATTGGAATTGCAGCTAGTGCCATTCAGTGAAAATTCAATTATGAAGCCCTCATCCTTAAAGTAGCACAACAAAATTATATGAACAGAGTGATACAATAAGAGGATAAAGTCCAAAAGTAGAACAGATGCAATACTCACAGGAATATAGACTATTGGAAACGGAGGTACCCCAATGGAGGCATTCAGACACCTGGACAACATCTGAAAACGTAAAAAAAAAAAAAAAAAAAAGATTCCTTACAAGAGAAACATTAACATTAGGCACAAACAGATCATGATTTAAGGTTTAGAAATAAACTTTATGACTTCATGAGGTTATATCCATGAGATCAAGTGTCATCAAAGGATACCCTTTAAGGCTATTTATGTAAATTATACCTCATTAAAGATAGTTTCAAAACATGAAATACTAGAAGAAAATGTGGGAAAGTTCCTTTCTAATCCTAAAGTGCATGGATGATAGGAGTCTGTGTAACCACTTATTAAAAATCCAAAAAATTAAGACATTTTAAAAAATCTATAGTAGAGTAAGAGGACCCTGAGCTCACCCTGCCCCATGTTTTCAACTACATAACATTCACATCCAAGTCCATTAGCCAGAGAGAGATCCAAAGACTAGCAGAACAAACTCCACAACTCAACAGAGAGAAGCTGCACCTGAACGGTTAGGAAGGTCAGAAAGGAAGACAGCTGCCTGCAGAGAAGGCAGAGAAAATGAGCCCTGACCCCAGGGAGCTCAAACAGGGAAGACTAATCCCCGTAACATTTGGCTTTCAAAACCAGAAGGGCCGAATTCCTTGAGTTTGGATCCTGGAGCTTAGGAGGTCAGCTGACTCAGCACCGGGTGATCCAGGAGGGTGAGTGATAGCCAGGACGCTGCCTGTGTGGAGAGGTAATGTAAACATGGCAGTTTACACTATGCCAGAGGCCACAGGAGACAGATGTGTTCATGCTGATTTCTGGCTGGTTGGGTGACTTCTCCAACAATGAGGGAGCTCACAGTCACCACTTTTCTAGCCCACTCCCCAGAATAAGCACAGAAGCACCTACCAGGGGGTTGGGCTGCACTGACCCTTGCTACCTAATCCACTAGCAGTGTGGCTGTCCCAAGAGCTCTCTGGGGGACTCACCCAATCGAAGCCTGCTGGCCTCAGCGCTGGGCTCAGAGCACACTTTGTTAAAACCACATAGACACGCCATCCAGCTTGCTGCATGCAAAGCTGCCACAGCACATTATGCGCATCTGCACCACACCCAGCTGCGCACTGCTGGCCACCTTCCTACGTCTCACCCAGCCACATGTCCCCAGCCACCGATGCACTCTGTGCATAGCCTCGAACTCTTGGATGCTCTTGTGCAGAGCTCCAACCAACAAAGAACAGCTACAGACTTGTCAATGGAATCTTGGCAAGCCGGAAGCGAGTGACATGACCTATTCAAAGTGCTGAATGGAAAATTCGTCAACCAAGAATACTCTATGCAGCAAGGCTATCATTCAGAATAGGAGCAGATCTAGCTTCCAAAAAAAACTAAAGGAGTTTGTACCACTAAATCAGTCCAGTAAGAAATATTAAGAGGGACTCTTTGAGTGGAAAAAAGAGACCAAAAGTGGCAAAAGAGAGGTAGAAAACTCAAGGCCAGCAAAAATAAATATTTCTGTAAAAATTCAGTCAAGAAATTGACAAAAATGGATATAAAATATAACATGTACCAAAACATGAGGAGGAGAAAATAAGGGGTTCAAAGGTAAATAACCATAATTTAATAAAAAGTTCTAAAAGCAATGAATTATATAAAAGCCTAATGGTGACCATATATCAAAAATCACAAATATGCAAAAATAAGGAGAAATAAATCAAAACACATCACTAAAAAAATCAGAGTAGGATGGACCTTGAACCCAAACACTAAGCCTGGCGGGCACATTCTAACCTAGCCCAAAGAGAATGCTGACTTTGAAACGCAAAGACTAAGCCAAAGGGGCATCCTCCCATGCGCCCTCAACTCAGCTGACCGGGTAGAGCACTGAACTGCTGGGGGTTCAGTGCCTGGAGACTCCTGGGATTGAACCCTAACCCTAAGCCTAACACTAACCCTCACTCTAAACATAACCTTACAGCTGACACGCAATTGCGAATTCACCCTCATGTCAGCTCTCCAGGGAGATCACCAGACTGGTGTCGCTTCTGCCATGGTGACTCTCTTTGATGGAACCCTAACCCTAGCCAAGGTGCTCTTACCATGGGGATACAATTCCTAGGTCTAAGAACACCATGGGCCCAGAAACGGTGCAGGCTTAATCAGCAAGGAGCGTGGAACATCACCATGACATTAACAAAACCAGGATCGAGGTGCACAAGGGGTGTCCTGAGGCACATTGGTACTCTGGGCAACAAAGGAGGCTGGGCCTTGAACCCAAACACTGCTCGTGACTGGCAACTCCCCGTGCTCACTCAACTCATTCCTCAGAGGGATAGTGCACGGGTGGCTGATTAGATTCTGGATTGTCCTGGGAACTTTAATGCTAACCCTAACCCTAAACATAACCCTAATCATACACATAACCCTCACTCAAAATGACACCCTACACCTGACTAGCACCTGAGTATGGGCCCTCATCACAGGCCCCCAGGTAGATCATGGGGCTGGAGTCGCTTCTGCCCTGGCAACTTCTCTGGATGGAACTCTTATCCTAGCCAAGGCTCTCTCCTCTTTGGGAACCAATTTCTTAGTCTCAGAAAACCAGGGACATGGGGCCCAGAAGCAATACATGCTTAATCCATATGGAACATCATCATTACTTGAATTGAGGTGAACAAGGGGTGTCCTGAGGTGCAACAGTAGCCTGGCCCGAGAGGAGGCAGAGCTTGAACCCAAATACTAAGCCTGACCAGCAACTTCCCATGTGCCCTCGACTCATCCCTCCGGGGATAACACTGCAATGCTGAATGATCATTTCCTAGATCGTCCTCTGATCTTACTCTCATATTAACCCTAAACCTAAACCTAACCCTAACCTTACCCCTAACCTTCACTCTAAATGTGACCCGGCATGTGAACTGCACCTGTGCATGGGCCCTCATTTCAGACCTCCAGGAAGATCATGGTATTGGTATTACTTCTACCTTGGGTACAACACTGGAGGGAACCCTAACCCTAGTCAAGGCTCTCTCCCCACGGAGACTCAAAGCCCAGGTCTGAGAAAACCAGAAGTGGTAAGACTTAATCAGCATGGAACGTCGAACAATACTATGACATTAACAAAGCCTGGATTGAGCTGCACAAGGGGTGGGATGAGGCGCTACCAAAGCCTTACCCACAGAGGAGGCTGGACCTTGAACCCAAACACTAAGCATGATCTCCAACGTCCCTTGCGCCCTCAACACAACCTATGGGGAAATCACTGCTGGCTGATTAGATCCTGGACTGTTCTGGTATCTTACACTAACCCTAACCTGTAAATCTAACTGTAATTGTACACCTAGCACTCACTCTAAACGTGACACTACACGTAAGCCACATGCCTGTTTGTGTCCTCATTTCAGCCCTCCAGGGAGATCACGGGGATTTTTTCATTTCTGCCCTGGCGACTCCCCTGGATGGAACCTTAACCCTAGCCAGGCTGTCTCTCATGGGGAATCAATTTCTTGGTCTCAGAAAAACAGAGACATGGGGCCCAGAAGTGGTGCAGAATTATTTGGCATGGAATTTCGAGGATCACCGTGCCTTTTCCAAGCCCTGATGGAGCTGCATTAGGGGTGTCCTGAGGTCCAAGTGTAACCTAGTCCAAGGAGAAGACTTGCCTTGGAACCCAAAGTCTAAACCAGATGGCACCCTCCAATGCGCCCTCAACTCAGCCCTAAGGGTAGAGGAATGCACTGCTGCGATTTCAGAGCCTGGAGTCACCTGGGGTCCAAACTGAACATTAAGCCTAACCCGAAGGCTAACCCTAACCCTAAACCTAACACTCACTCTAACCATAAACTTACAGCTGACCCACACTGGCACATGCACCCTCATTTCAGACCTCCAGGGAGATCACAGGGCTGGTGTCACTTCTGCACTGGCGCTCCCCTGGATGGAACCCTAACTCTAACCAAGGCTCTTTCCCCATGGGAACCCAATTCCTACGTGTGAGAAAACCAGATTGGGCCCTGAAGAGGTGCAAGGTTAATAAGCATACAACCTGGAGTATCAAAATGACATTAACAAAGTCGGGATGGAGCTGACAAGGGGTGTCCTGAGACACAAGTGTAGCCTGGCCCACAGAGGAGGCTGGTACTTCAACTAAAAAACTAAGCCGGACTGGCAACTTGCACCATGCCCTCAACTCAGCCCTCCGGGGAGACCATTGCACTGATGGTGATCAGTTCCTGGAGCATCCTAAAATCTTACTCTCATCCTTACCCTAACCCTAACCCTACCCCTAAGTCCACACTCTAAACGTGACCCTGCACCTGAGCTGCACCCGTGCAGGGGCCCTCATTTCAGACCACAAGGGAGATCACGGGGCTGGTGTCACTTCTGCCCTGGTGACTCCTAGGCAAGGCTCACTCCCCTTTGGAACCCCCTTCCTAGGTCTCAGAAAACCAGAAAATGGGTCCCAGAAGCACTGCACAATTACTCGTCATGGAACATGGAACATCACCGTGCCATTTCCAAGCCCGGATGGAGCTGCTTTAGTCATGTCCTCAGGACCAACTCTAACCTAACCTAAAGATAAGGCTGGTCTTGGAACCCAAAGCCTAAGTCAGACTGTCACTGTCCCATGCGCCCTCAACTCAGTCCCCTGGTGGAGCAGTGCGCTGCTAGAGATTCAGCGCCTTAAGCCTCTTGGGTTCCAAACCTAACACTAAGACCAAACATAAAGCTAACCCTCACCCTAAAAATAACCCTCGCTTAACCATTAACCTTTAGCTGACCCAGACCTGTGGATGCGACCTCAGGTCTTCAATCCTCCAGGGAGATCATGGGGCTAGTGTCGCTTCTGCCCAGGCAACCCCCCTGGACGGAACCCTAACCCTAGCTAAGGCTCTGTCCCACTGGGGCCCGAGTCCTAGAGCTGAGAACACCACTGACATGAAGCGCAGAGGCGGTGCAGGCTTCATCAGCATGGAGCTTGGAACATCACCATGACATTCCCAATGCCCAGAAACAGCTGCACAGGGGAGTCCTGTGGCCCAACCATGCCCAAGCCCACAGAGGTGGCTAGCCCTTTAACCAAAACACTAAGCCTGGCTGGCACCTTCCCATGCGCCCTCAACTCAGCCCACTGGGTGAACCACTGCACTGCTGGGGGATCTGTTCCTGGAGGGTCCTAGGATCTTACTCTAACCCTAACCCTAACTCTTACCCTAGCCCTACCCTTAATGCTCACTGGAATCCTACACCTAAGCAGGCCCCGTTCAATGCCCTCATTTCAGCCCTCCAAGGAGATCAAGGGTCTGGTATCGCTCCTGCCCTGGTGACTCACTTGGACAGAAGCCTAACCCTAGCCAAGACTCTCTTTCCCATGGGGACTCAATTCCTCGGTCTGAGAAAACCATGCACCTGGGTCCCAAAAGTGGTGCAGGATGACTTGGCACGGCACAAGAAACATACCATGCCATTCCCAAAACACGGATGGAGCTGCATTAGGGATCTACTGAGGCCTTCCTGCAACCTACCCCAAAGAGGACACTGGTCTTAGACGCCAAAGCCGAAGGCTGACCTGCACCCTCCCAAAGGCCCTCAATTCAGCCCGCCGGGGAGACCCCTGCACTACTGGGGGTTCAGTGCCTGGAGACACCTGGGATCTAAGCCTAACCCTAACACAACCCTACACCTAAGCCTAACCCTAACCCCTACCATTGGCCCTACCTCTAAACGTAAACCCTATATCGAACTCACACCTGCTCATGTATCCTCATTTCAGCCCTCCAGAGGATCACAGGACTGGTGCCGCTTCTGCCCTGGTGACTCCCCTAGAAGGTTCTGTGAACCCTGGCCAAGGTTCTGTGCCCATGGTGACTTAAGCTGAGAACACTACTGACAAGGGACCAAGAATCAGTGAAGGCTTCATCAACATGGAACATGGAACATCACCATGACATTCTCAAAGCCTGGAACAGCTGCACATGTGGTGTCCTGGGACCCAACCGTGGCTGGGCACACAGAGGAAGTGTGCCCTTAAACCCAACACTAAGCCTGGCCTGCAACCTCCCGTGAGCCCTCAGCTCAGCCCTCCAGGTCGATCACAGCACTGCTGGGAATTCAGCACCTGGAGCCTCCAGGGATCTAACCCTAACCCTAAGTGTAACCTTAACCCTAACCCTAACCCTAACAGTAACCCTCATTCAACCGTTAACCTACATCTGACCTGCACCCACGCATGCGCCCTCACTTCAGCCCTCCTGTGAGAACACGGTGCTGGTGTCATGTCTGCAGTGGCAACTTCCCTGGATGGAACCCTATCTCTCGCCAAGGCCCTCTCCCCATGGGGACCGAATTCCTGGGTTTGAGAAAAACAGGGACTTTGGGCCCATAAGTGGTGTGGCTTAATCAGCATGGAAAGTGGTGAAACACTATGACATTAACAAAGCTCAGATATAGGTGCACAAGTGGTGCCCTGAGGCACCACCAATGCCTTGCCACAGAGGAGGCTGGGCCTTGAAACCCAACACTAAGCCTGACAGCCAACATCCCTTCCGCCTTCAACTCAGCCCTCCTGGGAGATCACTACACTGCTGGCAGACTAGAAGTTGGATCATCCTGAGATCTTACCCTAACCCTATCCTTAACCCGAACCCGAACCCGAACCCTAACCCTGACCCTTGCCATGCACACTCATCTGTAGCTGGGCCCACTGAGGGGAGGGCCCCGAAACAAAGCAAGTGGCCTGGCCGGCACACTGCCATGCGTCCTCAACTCAACCCTCTGGGTGGAGCACAGCACTGCTGGAGGTTCGAGCGCGGGAGCATCCCGAGCTCAGGCCCTGACCCTAGCACTAGTCTTCTGACACACCCTAACCCGAGACCTACTACCCCTCAGGCTCACCGGAACCCTACACCTGAGCCGGGCGGCGCAAGGGCCCTCATTTCAGGCCTCCCGGGAGATCGCGGTGCTGGAGCCACTTCGAACTTGGCCGCTCCCCCGGATGCCGCCCTAACCGTAGCCAAGGCTCTGGACCCCATGGGGGGCCGCATCCCCGGAACGAGAACACGGAGAACCAAAGACGAGAAGCAGCGCAGACTTCCTCGGCATGAAGCGTCGAATATCACCACAACGTTCCCGGAGCCAGGAAACGGTGGCAAGACGGGTTTCCGTAGGCCTCAGTACACCTGGGCCCACTGAGGGGAAGGGACTTGGAAGGTAAACAATAAGCCAAACAGACACCCTGCCACGCGCGCTCAACTCAGGCCTCCGGGGGGAGCGCGGCACTGCCAGCGGATCGGGTCCTGGCGCGTCCCGGGCTCGGGCCCTAACCCTAGCCGTCGAGCACCCCCCAACCCTAGCCCCGCCCCTCAGGCTCCCCAGAAGCCGGCGCCGAGGCCCGCCCCGGGCACGGGTTCTCACTTCAGCCCTCCCTGGAGAAGCCGGGACTGGTGCCGCTTCGCCCTGGCCGCTCCCCCGGACGCCGCCCTAACCCTAGCCGCGCCTCGGGCCCCACAGGTAGCCAAGTCCTGTATCCGAGACCAGCTCAGACCAGCGCCAGGAATCATCACAGGCTTTCCCGTCATGGAAGGTTGACCATCACCAGCATATTCACCCGGGTCAGACATGGGGGTACCGTGGGTTTCTGGATGCCCCACCGTAGCCGGATCCCTCGAGGAGGCAGGCCCTGGAACCCAACCTCCACGCATGCGCCCTCACGTCCCTCAGTGGGATCACAGGACTGGTGTCGCTTCTGCCCTGGTGAATCCCTTGGACAGAAGCATAACCATAACTAAGGCGCTTTTTCCATTGGGAATCAAATACTAGTTCTGTGAACAGACCAACAGGGTGCCCTGAAATTGTACAGGGTTAATCAGGACGGAGAGTGGAACATCACCATGACATCAAAATCGCCTGGATCAAGCAGCACAAGGGGTGTCGTGAGGTGCAACTGTAGCCTGGTCCACAGAGGATGCTGGATCTTGAACCCAAACACTAAGCCTGACCATCAACTTCCCTTACGCCCTCAACTCAGCCCTCGGGGGAGATCATTGCACTGCTAGCTGATTATATCCTGGATCGTTCTGGGATCTTACTCTACTCCTAACCGTAATGCTAAACCTAACCTTACCACTAATGTTCACTCTAAACCTAAGCCTACACCTGAGCCATACCCGTGCATGGGCCCTCGTTTCAGACCTCCAGGGAGATCATGGGGCTGGTGGCACTTCAGTCCTGGTGACTCCCCTGAAAGGAATTCTATCCCTAGCCAAGGCTCTCTCCCCATGGGGACCCAATTCCTAGATCTCAGGAAACCAAAAACATGGGCCCAGAAATGGTGCTGGATTACTCGGCAATGGAACATGGAACATCACCATGCCATTTCCAAGATGGGATGGAACTGCATGAGGGGTATTCTGAGGCCCAATTCTAACCTAGCCCAAAGAGAAGGCTAGCCTTGGACCCCAAACCTAGCCAGACTGCTGCCCTTCTATGCGCCCTCAAACACAGCCCTCCAGATAGAGCACTGCACTGCTGGGCATTCAGTGCCTGGAGCTTCCTGGGATCTAACCATAACCCTAAGACTAACCCTAAAGCTAACCTTAATCCTAACACTGACCTTCATGCTAACCATAAACCTATGGCTGTCCAGGACCCGCGCAGGTGCCCCCACTTCAGCCCTCTGGGAGGTCATGCGGTGGTGTCACCTCTACCCTGCCAACTCCCCTGGACCAAACCCTAACCCTGTACAAGGCTCTCTTGCCAGGGGGACACAATTCCTAGGTTTGAGAAAAACAGGGACGTGGGGCCCAGAAACGGGGCAAGCTTAATCAGCATGGAATGTGGAACATCACCATGACATTAACAAAGCCCACGCTGAGCTGCACAAGGGGTGTCCTGAGGCATTACCATGGCCTGAACACCAGAAAAGGCTGGGCCCTGAACCCAAACACTAAGCCCGACAGGCAACTTCCCCTGCGTCCTCAACACAGCCCTCTAGAGAGATCACTGCACTGCTGGGTGATCAGTTTGTGGAGCATCCTGGGACCTTACTCTAACCCTAACCCTAACCACTACCCCTAAGCCTCACTCAAACCAAAACCCTACACCCGACACGCACCTGGACATGAGCGCTCATTTCAGCCTCCAGGGAAATCACGGGACTGGCATCGTTTCTGCTCTGGCAACTCCCCTGGACAGAACTATAGCCCTAGATAAGGCACTCTTACCATAGGGACCCAATTCCTAGGTCTGAGAACATCACGGACATGTCATTAGAAGAGGTGCAGCTTCATCAGCCTGGAAGTGGGAACATCATCATGCTATTAACAAAGCCCGAATGGAGATGCACAAAGGTGTCATGAGGCCCTTTGCTAGCCTGGCCCACAGAGGAGGCTCTCCCTTGAACCCAAAAACTAAGCCTGACAGACACTTTCCCATAAGCTCTTAACTCAGCCATCAGGGTAGAACACTTCACAGCTCGGTGTTCAGCACCTGGAGCAACCTGGGTTCTAACCCTAACCCTAACCTTACCCCCACCTGCACCTGCACATGGGCCTTTATTTCAGCCCTCCAGAGAGATCACCAGATGAGTGTTGCTTCTGCCTTTGCGACTCCCCTGGACGGAACAGTAACCCTGGTCAAGGCTCTATCCCCATGGGGACCAAAATCCAAAGTCTGAGAACGCCACAGACATGGGGCTTAGAAGTGATGTAGGCTAAATCAGCACGGAACTGGGAATATCATCATGCTATTTAAAAAGCCTGGATGAAGCAGCACAAGGGGTGCCTTAAGGCCCAACATTTTCCTGAACCCTAGAGGGGGCTGGCCCTTGAAAATGAAGACTAAGACTGACTGGCACATTCCCATGTGCCCTAAGTTAAATCCTCTAGGGAGAACACTGCACTGCTAGGTGACAGGTTCCTGGAGCATCCTTGGATCTAAACCTAACTCTACCCTTAACCCCAAACCCTAACCCCTAGCACAAAACCCTAAACCCTAACCCAAACCCTTACCCCTAAGCCTTAACCCTAATTGAACCTTAAACCTTAACCCCTAACCCCTGACCACAAACTCCAACCCTAACCCTAAACCTAACACTGCCCTAACCCTAACTACTATCCCCCAACACCTAATTCCTAACCCTGACCTAGCCCATATCCTAACCCCTATCCCTAACCCTAACCCCTAACACTATCCCTAACCTCTTTCTCTAACCCTAACGCAAACACGAGCCATCTAACCCTAACCCTAACTGCAACCTTTAATCCTAACCACTAACCCCTAACTGTATTCCTAACCCTAACCCTAACCCTAACCCTAAACGCAATGAAAGAAATTAAAGACAATATAAAGAGTACTATGGCAATAGCACACAATGCAACATGTAGATTCAATGTTATTCACAGGAAAATTCACAAAATCCTCTGAGAAGAAATGCACAAGCTAATCCTAACAGTCATATGGAAAATCAAGGGACCACAAAATAAAACAATCGAAAAAAATCCAAGTAGAAGCTCATACTTCCCAATTTTAAATCTCAAAACAAAGCAACAGTAAATAAAACATCATGATACTGTCATGAGGATATACATAAAGATCAGTGGGATTTCATTGAGAACCCCTCCCCCTGAAATAAACCCTTTCATCTATGGTCAACCGAATTTTGACAAGGGTGGACAGCATGACATTGGAGAAACAATGGTCTTTTCAACAAAGGGTGCTAGACAACTGGCTATCAATGTGCAGAGGAATGAAATTGGACTCTTACCAGCTTTTAAAACTAACAAGAGACAGAAAGCTAACCAAAATGACGAAACGGAAGAACTCTCCGCCAAATAAATTCCAGGAAGAAATGACAGCTAAAGAACTACTCAAAACAGATATAAGCAATGTAACTGAACAAGAATTTAGAACAATAGTCATAAAATTAATCACTGGGCTTGAAAAAGGCATGGAAGACATCAGAGAAACTATGGCTACAAAGACTATGGAGCTTAAAAATAGTTGTGATGAATTTAAAAGTGCTATATATGAGGTGCATAATAAAATGGAGGCGTGTAATGCATGGATTGAAGAGGCACAGAGGAGAATAGGTGAATTAGAAGACACAATTACAGAAAAAGAGGAAGCTGAGAAAAAGAGAAATAAACTGATCCAGGAACATAAAACGTGGTTCGAGAGCTCAGTGATACAATCAAATGTAACAATACCTGTATCATAGGAATTCAAGAAGAGGAAAAAAGCGGTAAAGGCACTGAGGACTCCTTGAACAAATTATAGCCAAGAATGTCCACAATTGGGGGAAGGAAAGAGACATTGAAATCCAAGAGGCACAGATAACTCCCCTCAGATGTGTCTTGAATTGATCTTCTGCACGACATATCATAGTGAAACTGGAAAAATACCAGGACAAAGAGAGAATTCTGAAAGCAGCTAGGGACAAAAGGCCCCTAACATACACAGGGACACCTACCAGAGTCATTACAGACCTATCTACTGAAACTTGGCAGGCCAGAAAGGAAAGGCAGGAAATCTTCAATGTGATGGACAGAAAAAAATATGCAGCCAAAGGGATGCCTGGGTGGCTCAGTAAGTTAAGCGTCCGACTTCAGCTCAGGTCATGATCTCATGGTTCGTGGGTTTGAGCCCTGTGTCAGGCTCTGTGCTGACAGCCAACTCAGGGCCTGGAGCCTGCTTCTGATTCTGTGCCTCCCTCTCTCTCTGACCCTCGCCTGCTCATGCTCTCTCTCTCCCTCTCTCTCTCTTTCAGAAATAAATAAGAAATGTTAACGAATCCTCTATCCACCAAGCCTGTCATTCAGAATAGAAGGAGAGATAAAAGTCTTTCCAAATAAACAAAACTTGAAAAAATTCGTCACCACTAAACCACCCCTACAAGAAATCCTGAGGGGGACTCTCTGAGGGAAATGTTTAAGGAACGCAAGATACCAGAGACACCACCACAAGCATAAGTCCCACAAAGGACAAGATGACTCTAAACCCATATTTTTCAATAACAACACTGAATGTAAATGGACTAAATGCCCCAATCAAAAGACATAGGGTAGCAGAATGGATAAAAAACCAAAATCCATCTATCTGCTGTCTACAAGAAACTCATTTTAGACCTGAGGACACCTTCAGATTGAAAAGAAGGGGATGAAGAAATATATATCATGCTACTGGAAGTCAAAAGAAAGCTGGAGTAGCTATATGTATATAAGACAAACTTGACTTTAAAGTAAATACAGTAACAAGGGATGAATAAAGACATTATATAATAATTACAGGGTCTATCCATTAAGAAGAGGTAACAATTATAAATGTCTACATATCGAATATGGGAGCACCTAAATATATAAAACAGTCACATACAGAAACAATCTTATGGACAAGAATGTGCTAATAACAGGGGACTTTAATACTCCATTTACAGCAATGAATAGATCAACTAGACAGAAAATCACTAAAGACACAATGGACTTGAATGACACATGGGACCAGATGGATCTGACAGATATATTTAGAACTCTACGTCCTGAGGCCATGGAATTCACTTTCGTCTCAACTGCATATGGCACATTCTCCAAGACAGATCACATACTGGGACATAAAGCAGTCCTCAATAAATGTAAAAGAACTGAGATCCTACCATGCACACTTTCAGATCACAATGCTATGAAACTCGAAATCAATCACAGGAAGAAGTCTGGAAAACCTCCAAAAACATGGAGGTTAAACAACACCCTACTAAAGAACGAATGGGCCAATTGGGCAATCAGAGAAGAAATTTAAAAATATATGGAAACAAATGAAATTGAAAATACAACAATCCAAACTCTATGGGATGCGGCGAAGGCAGTCCTAAGAGGAAAGTACAATGCACTCCAGGCCTATTTCAAGAAATTAGAAAAAGCGGAAGTGTAAAATCTAATAGCGCACCTAAAGCAACTAGAGGGAGAGCAACAAGAGCACCCCAAACCCAGTAGGAGAAGAGAAATAATAAAAACCAGGGCAGAAATAAACAATATAGAAACCAAAGAAACAGTTGAACAGATGAACGAAACCAAGAGTTGGTTTTTTGAAAAAATAAACAAAATTGACAGACCTGTAGCTAGGCTTCTCAGAAAGAAAAGAGAGCACTCAAATAGACAAAATAATGAATGAAAGTGGACTAATTACAACCAACCCCTCAGAAATATAAGCAATCATCAGGGAATATTATGAAAAATTATATGCCAACAAATTAGACAACATAGAAATGGACAAATTCCTGAACAGACCCATAACGAGTGAGGAAATCAAATCAGTTATCAAAAATCTCCCAACAAATAAGAGCCCTGGGCCAGATGGCTTCCTCAGGGAATTCTACCAGACACTTAAAATAGAATTAATACCCATTCTTCTCAAGAGATTCCAAAACATAGAAATCGAAGGGAAACTTCGACTCATTTAATGAAGCCAGCATCACTTTGATTCCCAAGCCAGACAGAGACCCAGCAGAAAAGGAGAACTACAGGCCAATATCCTTGATGAGTACAGATGCAAAACTCCTCAACAATATACTTGCAAATCGAATTCAACAGCACATAAAAAGAATTATCCACTAAGATCAAGTGGGATTCATTCCTGGGTTACAGGGCTGGTTCAATATTCCCAAATCAATCAATGGGATACATCACATCAACAAAAGAAAAGATAAAAACCACATGATCCTGTCAATAGATTCAGAAAAAGCATGTGACAACATACAGCATCCCTTCTTAATAAAGACTCTAGAGAAAGTTGGGATAGAAGGAAGCTACTTAAACATCATCAAAGCCATCTATGAGAAGCCCTCAGCTAACATCATCCTCAACGGGGAAAAACTGAGAGCTTTCCCCCTGAGATCAGGAACACGACAGGGATGTCCACTCTCACTGCTGTTTAACATAGTGCTGGAAGTCATCGCATCAGCCGTCAGACAACAAAAGGAAATAAAAGACATCAGAATTGGCAAAGAAGAAGTCAAACTTTCACTTTTCGTGGACGACATGATATTCTACATGGAAACCCGACAGAATCCACCAGAAGCCTACTAGATCTGATCCAAGAATTCTGCAAAGTTGCAGGGTACAAAATCAACGTACAGAAATCGGTTGCATTTTTATACACCAATAATGAAGCAACAGAAAGAGAACTCAAGAAATGGATCCCATCATAATTGCACAAA